CTGTTGTGGGCATAACCGCAGTTGGCCAGTCAGGCAAATGCTGCAGTGCATGCAGAATTAGTTACCAGTTTGGGGAGAATTTAAATGAGAAACATTTTATTGCCATCTAATAGTTTTAAGCTGCTTATCCTTTAAAGTCACCCAGAACTTTGGTCTGCTGACTCCTTCAAATCTCTGCTTGCAGCTACTCTGTTTGTATCTGAAGTTTAGGTTAAGTCTGCTTGTCAGGGCCAGAAAGCACCCCAATAATGGCTATACCAAACCCTTAACAGTGAGAACAATCTGTCTCAGCTGGAATTTTGTTCTGTCTGATACCAAATTATTAATTGAGCATAGCATGGTAAAAGAAATATAATAGAACTAGAAAATGTACTTTTATCCTTCTTAATAAACACAATATACTCATTTAAATTATTTCTAAAATACATTGCCCTTCTAGAATGTTATATTGTATGTGATTCCTTGAAAAGAAGATACAGACATCCAATGCAATACTGTACATTTTCCTGATTTTGATGGTAAGTAAACATGCTTGATTTGAAATGCTACTAAATGTTTCTTGTCTACTTACAATGTTCTTTCCTTTCTTTATTTCATTCTGCCTCACCCTTCTTATTCTATTTTTAAGAATGTACCACAGGCAAAGAATTAATTGGGCACATCGCTGGTCCTTAAGGAACTTGTGAGTAAGAAATGAAGACATGTAAAAGTGACTGTAGAATGGTATAAATAGCATTTATGGAGGGCCTACTGTGTGCTGCATCCTGCACTAAGGTCATGAAGAATTCGTTTAATCCTCAGAATAACTGCAGCGTAGGGCAACCCTGCTCTCACTATGACAGATGAGGAAATCTGTCCCTGAGAATTTGGGTCAATGGTTTAGGTTGAAAAATATAGATTTTCTGGCTCTAGGGCATGGGGACGTTTACATAATGACTCACAATTTCCCCAAAGGCACATATGTAGATCCAAAGTAACAGGAATCTTAACAATGGTACAGGTCAAATTATCTGGGAATCAAAAGAAAGGATGTGAATAAGTGGTCATGTGGGTTCAGGGGTGATTTTGTGTAGGGGATGGAGTTTAACTGAGACTTGGATTAAGAGAGAGAGAGAGAAAGAGAGAGAGAGAGAGCAAGAGAGACAGACAGACAGACAGACAGATAGACATCCTTACGTCAACCCCTGAGTATGCAGGCTTTCTGTGTATACACAGAAACTGTATCTGAGTCTCATTTGAGTTCTCCTCTGACATGATTGAGATTCAGAGAGAATAAATGGGTTGTCAGAGATCATATGGCTTATTAGAAGCAGAGCTAGGACCAGCATCACGTTTATACCAATATAGTTTTAATTGATATTTATGTTGTACCTTTCTTGGACCCTAATTAATCATAGCTCAAAATAAGTCCAAACAGTTGATCCAGAGATTTCTGCCCAATTACTGGGGCCACTGTTGGTGACTGATTACCTGTTTCTCAAGTAAACCCATGTGAGGGAAACTGTAAATCACCCTTCCTTAAAATGGTAGCATATAATCAGTGTGTGACAAATATTGTTTGAAAAAGCCATTAGCCACCAAATATTTTAATAGAAAATAATTCAGAAACTTATAGGAAAGAAAAAGGCCTTGGAAAAGAGGTCCTTAGAGGTGATAATGAAAGGCTGGAAGAGAGTGGGAGTCTTTTCCTTGCTGAGTAAAAAGACGTCTATGAGCAAAGTTCAGATTGTCATGGTAATGCAAATCATCTACCCTCGCTTTCAGCCCTATCCCTGTTCAAAACAAATTTAAAACCAGACTAGAGTTCAGAAGTTGGTGTTAGCAAAAGTCAGCTTCTTTCACTGTATACATTTCAAGAATCAGAAACTTTTTGGGACAGGGGTCTAGTTTATAAAGCGCCGTAAAGACTGGGTTTATGTTTTGCTTTTGGTAGAAAACAAGAAGTGGTAGCTAATTTAGATGAATACATAAAATACACATATTTACACATGAATGTGTGTTTGTATGTATGCACATATACTATTCAAATGTGTACATATACAAATCTAATATTCACTTAATTATATGCTATAAGCAGGAATAAAAGAGGTTGCTTTTATTAATTATGGTATTTACTTTAATTAGCTCATTAGTATTAATTATTTAACAACTTAAAAGATCAGTACAACATAAAAATTTAAAAGCAATGAATGACTTATGAGTAATTGGGAAGCTTATGAATAACAAGAGCTTGAGTAAGAGCCAGCAGTATCTTTCACTGGAGGTAAAAGGAACCCAATTTTTCACAATAATAATTCGTTAACATTTTTATTATCATACATTTCTGGAATACACAATATAAAATAACAATAGTTTAACGAATCCATGTGCTCTTGTCACCAAGTTTTAGTAACTGTCAAATTTTTGCCAAGTTTATTTCATTTATCTCCCTTTCCTACATTTTGTTTTTGTTAGAGTCTTTTAAAGGAAATCACACAAATCATATTATTTCACTGCAACTATTCATTGTGTGTTGGAACAGATGAAATATATTTTTAATGTACCCACAATACCACATTAGCATATCTAACAAACTTACTAATCTTATTTTAATCTAATACTAAGTACTCATATCTCTTTAAAAATTTTAGAAAGTATCTTTGTTTCTTATAGTTTGCTAGTTTGCTTTTCTTGGTTGCTATGCCTTTCAGTCCTCTCTCATTCTACAGCAGTGACTGTTTCCTTTTTATTATTATCTTTTTGAGACAAAGTCTCACCATGTAGTTTAAGTTGGTCTTATAGTCACTGTTAGGTTAGGCGGCCTTGAACTTTTGGCAATGCTTCTGCCTCAGCCTCGTAAGTGCTAGGACTACCATGGTGTTTATTTGAACAAAATAATGTCACTAGACTCATAAGCTTCATTACAATCAGGCTAAAATGAGACTTTCTTAGAAAGTCTTGAGAGAGGCAGTAATTACAACATTATAGATTAGTACTTCAGGAACATGAATCAATTATTTCTACATTAAAATATGAAGTATGCTTTACAAACAATAAAATAGACAGATCCCAAATATTCAATTCAATGATATCTGACAACTATATACTCTCATTTACCTACCACCCAAAACAAGTTACAGAACTATCCACCGCTGTAGAATGTTCTGGTGAAGACCTAGTATGTGGAAGGGTAGATCTCCTTTCTCATTCTCTTTTCTTGCTTCTACCCCTCAAACTTAGTGATGGCTTTGTGGAGGCTGCAGATGTACTCCAGGACCGGGGATGCTTGGGAGTGCAGTCTGAAGACCGACTCCCCTTTATGGTTTATTAAACGCTGACCTGGCTTTGCCTAAGTCCCATCAAAGTGTGTTCCTTTATTTTGCCACTTTGCTCTTTCAGCGATGCAAGCCATCATAACACCTGTAAAATGTAATTTCCTTAAGTTATTAGCTCCCTGCTATGTTTAAAAACTATGAATTTATAATTTTATCTATATTGTTTTGTTAGACTGGAAATAATGACTATATTAGATTCCTATTATTGCTGTAAAAATTTATCCCAAATTTGTTATTTTCTAGTTCTAGAGGTTAGAAGTCTGAAACGAGCTTTACAGGGCTGGAATCATTGTGCCCTGTCTTCTCTGGAGACTGTAGCTAAAGAACCCACTTCCTGGCCTTCTGTAAATTCTGAAGACTGTTGGTGTTCCTTGCTTGGCTCATGAGTTCTAACTGCACAGAGCACAGTTCCAATCCTACTTTTTTGTCATAGCTCCTACCCTTTGACACTGATCCATTTTCCTCCTTTTTACAAAAATCTCTTTTACATACAACTTTCCTGGATGATGTAGGTTCTTCTTCCCATCTTAAAATCCCTAATTTAATCACATGCTCAGTGGCCATTTGCCACCTTCAGGTCACATAGTCACAGACAGTTTCTAGAGACCAGAGCATCATTTAAGCATGTTTTACTTACATTTCCCCAAAGAAAAATCTCTTATAGGTAACACAATGAGACATCATGGTTTACAGCTAAGTGTTTCTCCTTTGCCACAGTAAGGCAGAGAGGGAAACCTGATCATGTGAAAAGACCACAGACCTTAAATTTAGACAGACCGGAATAGTAAAGCTTGGCTACCTTGATCTTCTTCTGATTTCTTTTGATGGTCTGTCAGCTTAGATGGAGACTGTGATCCTTCACAGATTTGTCGTGATTATTACATTTAATGGAACAGGTAAAATTCTGATTATCAGGAACATGTAAGTTACCCAAGAAACAGATATTTACTCACTTTTGTTCTTTTTCTTTAATGAATCAAATTAGAAGAATAAGAATAGAAAACTAGAACTGCAATAGGCATTGCTAACAAGGGAAACCTGAAAGTTTCCCTTCGCAACATGTACCCCAGAGCCCAAGTTCAGAGCCGAATAAAGGCTGGATAAGAGGAAGTGCAGTATAGACCAATTATTCTTGATGGATGTTATCTGGTGGAAGATGAGATTTGTCTCATTGTTGGATAGATGTTCGTGGGGCCTCACTCTTTGAGATGGACACCTATACATTTGTGCAGCCTCTTGAGCTGTCCCACAACCCAGCCCAGGCCCAGAGCTCTTACACGGGAGAAATGCACCTGATCCTTTATTCTGCTTGTTTTGTTTACTTCTAGAGCAACTGGTCCCAGAAGAAATATCCCCAAATAAAATGTCGTTTCATTGTCATCAAAATAACTTGGCAATGCTGGTAAAGTACTATCAAAATTCTGTATATAAATCTTTTCTTTGTGGGCAGCTTTACCCCTAATGAATACCTAGCCAGCACAATTAGTCACTTCAGTACCCTATATTTTAGAACTATTCATATGTGATTTATAAATAGCTGACATAGAAAAGTGGTTGTGGTTTAATAATGCCCTCTAGTTTAGATGGCATTAAGTACCCTGTTATTGCTAAGAAAAATAAATAATAATGTACCTCATATAAAATGTTAATCTCACCCCATTATTATTATTTCATCCTATGGCATAGGCTTGACATTTAAGCAAAAAAAAAAAAAAAAAAAGCATAAGCGATAATTATACTTTAAGTTGTCCCATAATTAAAAATTCTTCACAAAAGAACATTTTCTGTCATTTGCTTATAACATCTTTTGCAAGTTTTTCGCCTTGTCCACTTTTACATTTCAGGTAAAAAGCTACATGAAAATATCATGAAGCATCACTCTCCAAGCGCAACTGAAATTGATATATTGCTTTGCTTTTCGTTCCTTCCTAAACAAAGTCCAGGCACGGAGCACAGCGCTTGTAGCCACTCGCTTATGGTGATGGGCAGACTGTAGAACATAGATATAGCAATCTGCTTGGCTGATTTCTGCTACCCATTGGGAGTCATGGACGAAGTCTCAGCAGGTTGAATGCTGTGCACCCACGCACTGCAGAATGCTGTGATTACAGCAGGTAGGTGGCTCGGGTTCAGAGAACCTCCGAGAGGTGGGAGTCCAGCGTAATGGGATGTGTTATTTATTGGAGTTTGTGGGGACACACGCTGTAATTGTATGCTTGGTGTAATGTCTGATTGTTGTGTCTTTCATAGCCTCTGGAAGCCAGCCCCCTGTGTAAGTGATAACCCACTGGAGCTTTTGTTGTGAGTGCAATGGGAACACAGGAAATGAATAGCAACTGATTAATTGAAGCAGGCTACATTTTTGGAAAACAAATCAAAGTGATTTGCATGAATCACAATTTGTTACATAATACATTTTGAGGGCACAAATTACCTTTTTAAAGCCTAAGACACATATATACACAGCGGAACAAACAGAAATATAATAAACTGGGCTATAACTACATAATTCACATTGAATACTGTATGCCAAAGCCGATGTGAAACAAATGATTTTCCAATAAACTACTCAGGCAGAGTCATATCTGTTCTAAATTTCAATTGAATATTATTTATAATACCAATAATTCTTCACGATTGTTAACCATGGGCTGATGGAACAATTTGTTTTACATATTAGTTTGGGGGGTTCGTGTATTCCCAAGTTGGGAACTGACTTGTAGTCGTGTTTCAGGAGATATGGTAAATAAATAAAAGTTGAAGAGAGAGGGAGGAAAACTTTGAGGTTGAATCATTTTTGCCTTTTTCTAATTTTGAATAAAAACACTAGTAAAAATAATGTCAATAGTAAAGGGAAATATAATTGGCAGAAAATTATTTTTCCTAGGCTTAATATCTATAATAGATTTTTAGGTTTGTCTCCTATTCTTATTTAAAAAGGGTTCTTTTAGTGTTGTGAATTGAATCATAGGCCTTGTGCATGCTAAGCACTTGCTTTACCACTAAGTTACATCTAGGACCCTATTATTTTCTTTATAATATTATCTGTATTATTCCTATTATTAAAATGAGGCCATGCATTTACTACAATGAATAATGGAATTACAAACTTTATTGGTCAATACTTCTAGTGCTTTTGGCTTGACCTTAAGCACATATTACTTATATATGTGTATATGGAAAATATTCTTAAGAAAATCCATAAAATACATAAAATCATATTTTTTATGGAATTGTATCATGTATGTTGCTTTACAATTTGCTATTTTATGTAATCAAAGATGCCAAATATTTTTTCCATGTCAATAAATGTATATGCACATTACCATGGAGTGCAATTATTTATTTAGCTAAATATTTCTCATCATAAACTTGTTTTAACTACAATCAATATCAAATAACATCCATACTCATAAATCTAAACAGCCTTGATGTTGTTGAAATGTATTCCTAGAGACAGGAACATTGCATCGAATTTTATGGAGGTTTGTGAAAGCTTTGGTTCATATTATAAAATCACCTTCAGGTAAACTTGTATATAAAATTTTCTTAAGACACAGGTATAAATATTCTTCTATAATATGTTGGATATTTCTCCAATTTTTATCCTCTTTTTTCCTTTATCAGTTTTAATAATTTTTGTTTAGATAAAGAACAAAAATTTTTTTTCATGCATCTGCAGCACATGGTGACTATAACGATGGTGGGGAGCTGACACACATAGACAACAAATCCCAATTGTCTTTTGTCTTGGTTATTTTTCTCTCATTACTGAGACCAAATATCTGATGCCCAACATGAAGGAAGGAAGGGTTTATTTAGCTAACAGTTTTTTGGAAGTTTCAGTCCATACTCAGCTGGCTGCAAGGCAGGGCAGCGTGGCTGACATTTAATCGTTTATGGCAGCTGCAAAAGACAGGGTAAAAATATGAAAAGCAGACCTCCTTCCCTCATTTATATAGTACGTGGGTTATCGCCCCTGGATGGGTAAAGCGTTCACGTCACCAATCCCAGCACTAGACAGTGAACCAATCACAAATGCTAGGCAATGAACCAATCACAAGCAGTGCTTTAGAAAGGTCCACCTCCCATGACTGCACGAGGCTTTGGGGGACATTTAAACAAACCACAACGTCTTTTTTCACTTTTTTGTTTGTCGTTCTCTATCTTGCCCCTCCCTCCCTGCTCCTTCCAACTCTTAGTCTTTTTCCCATTTGCAAGTGTGCCATTGTCATCATTTTCCCCTTTAATATTTTTTAAATTCTCTTTTCTTCCTCTTTCCCTTTCTCCATCTCTTGTTCCTGCATCAATCTGAGAAAGATCTTCCTACTTCTTTATCTACCTTCTCTTTTTAGTTTACTTAAGTGCAAAAGCTTACCTTATTACACAGAAATTTATTTCATCAAATAATGAATTTAAGTAATCTTTAACCGATGCATTCATTCACTCCAGGAAAGATTAATTCTAAAATCTAGAGTTTTAGTCTTCCATATTATCATTTTTTGCCCTTGTCACCAGAATCAGAAAGCACATTTTCCTAAGGATAAGTCAGATATAGACTTTAAATGTCATTTCATTTCTTTGAGACAGAAATGAATGTATTATAAAGTTCCAGATCATGTATTTTCTTTTTCTTTTTTTTTTGTACGGGGATTGAACTCATGACCTCACCCTTGCCAGGCAGGCGCTTAGGCCATTGAGCTAAATCCACGACCCCCTAGATCATGTTTTTGTTCTCTAGATTTCCAAAAAAGACACGAACTATTGTTAAATTGACTGGCTATTGGGCTCTCCCATTCACTGGATTTTATCCAGAGATTCACCTCAGAGGAGCAGAGTGTATTCCAGCAGGCATTTGTTTGACTTTTCATGAATCTTTTACATTTAATTTTTTTGTATGCATTCTATCTGCTTTTGAAAAAACATACTGAGAATAAAAAACTATTAAATTATATTTATATTTTAAGACTTGAAATATAAACATTTCAAGTGTGTATATATAAAACTATATATGATGAATTTCCAGTTTTTTCAATTTAATGCCATCATAGTATTCCAAGATAAAATGGTAATATGGTCATTTTGCTCTAATCATTGGTTGTTTTTAGTAAAACAATAATTTTGTCTTACATATAAGGTTTGCATGCATGGAATTCTAACATAATATCATATTGATTGCTAACATTTTTTATTTTGCCAAATATATTTTGCACATACATGGTGTAGACACATTGGGAAAATAAATTTTATTAATTAATGGGAGCCTAAGGCAAAAAAAAAATGACTTCAATGGGTTGATTTTAATTTGTGGTGGCATCAAAATGATTAATATCTAAATTTTAAAAATGTGTTATATTTCAAGACACATTACTATTAGTCATTCTCAAAGTATTACTTCTGGCTTTGAACACACTTATTCCGCAATTCTTGTCAGTTTTGGGTGCAATTTTGGTAGTCCTCTTTCATGGGTGCCTATAGTTATACTGCTGTGGCTGCATCCATGATTTGAATAGATTCAAATGGGAAGAGAGATCTTTCACAACGAGAAGGGGATCAAGAGATAGAATGGTATCTCAGTCATTTTCTCTCATTGCTGAGGAAAAAAAAAATCCAACATCCCAAATCAAGGAAGGAAAGATTTATTTAGCTCACAGTTTGTGGAAGTTTCAGTCCATAATCATCAGGCTCCAAGGCAGGGTGGCATGGCACCAGGGCAACACTTCAAGGCAGCAGCCAGTCAAAGCAGCCAGAGCAAAAGAGGATGAAGCAAACCTCTTTTCCTTCTGTATATTATACACAAGCCATTCCCTTTCAGGGCTGGAGTAGCACTAACAAAATCTCTGTGCCCTCTCCTCTTGCACAGGGTGAGGATATTTACAAAATAAGAACCCTAGCTCCCAGCAGAGTTTCTTACACTTTTGATGCTCAAATTGACACAATGTATCAACCATAACAAAGGGGAGAGGAGTAGAGTGTAATAAAAGGAATTAAAATGTGTTATATACATGACCAACTTCATTAAGGAATGTAAACTTTATGTACTAAAATATAATGCTTACCTCTCATGCTCATTTTCACTTTGTAGGAGAGCCAGAAGTCACATGATGCCAGATCTGGGAGATATCAATTTCCATACTAGAAAAATGAGTGGCACAGAGCATTGTTACAATGGAGAATGAAACTTTTCACCCATGTCACAGGTTATTTTCTGTGTTCATTATTTCTTAAGTGCTTTAATAAGCCCTTGTAGGCTTAAAAACATTGTGGTGTTTCCTCATCTACCTTATTCACTGGATCTAGCATTGTGTGATGTGGGACTTTATCCTCAAAGATAAAATAACCATGAAAACTACACATCTTGTATCATTTCAGGGTATTGAGGCAGCCATGACAGCACAACTAAAGACAATCATGGGCGGGGACTTCCAGAGCTGCTTCAGAAAGTGGCAAGAATGATAGGATAAGTGTGTCTGAAGCAAAGAGGAAGAATTTTGAAAGGATTAATTGCTAATTGGTTAATAATTTCATTGTAATAAATGTTTTAAAAATTAAACATTCACTGTGTGTTTTGTTCATATCTTGCCTTCCTAACTCCAATGTTCTCATTTACCATTTGAAAACTCGAGCATACTCTAGTCATTGTGGCAAGAATAAAAGAATAGGGGGCTGGGGATTTAGCTCAGCGGCATAAGTACCTGCCTTGCAAGCAGGTGGTCATGAGTTCGATCCCCGGTACCGATAAAAAAAAAGAATAAAAGAATAAAGTGATTTCTCTGATCATAAAGCATTCTCCACAAAGAAAAATGGTGTAACCCACAGCATGGGTTAAAGAGATGTCCATGAGGGGAGAAAAATTTGTGCCAGAATTTGAAGCAAGAAAGAACATAATGCTTTTAGAGCTACCTGAACTCTGGTGGAGTCCTTTTAATCCTTTCATTGATCTTATTAAATGATGCTATGGCTACCTGGGGACCCAAATCAAGTGGGTTCTCCTTAAGCAATAAAAAGGATTACAACTTTTCTATTTTCCTTCTTCACAAATTTTTTTTCTCTATCGCATTATATTTCACGGGAAAAGACTAATACCTTTATGTGAATATTTATCACCAACTTATAGAGTAATGTGCATGCTACTTTCTTAAGATAGCTGTTTCCAAAAAGAGGATCAGTATCTGATGGAACAAACCTTTAATGATGGAATCTCAGGCAACAGCATCAAACTGCTATGGAGCTCTTCAAATTGCTCATCATAGGCAACTACTTACTCTGGACACAGATAAGTTTAATTTGGTATTAAAATATCTTAATAGAATAGAAAGTGTTTAAGAAGTATATCTAGTTTTGAGTGATATTTGTACAATGTGTAAGAATTTGCAATAATGTCATACAAAAATTTAGCATTAAAACCATTTCCCTTCTTTGTCCTCTTTCCTTGCTATATATAGGTGTCCACCTTTTGTTTGGTGACTCTGGACAGTACATATTTGAAGACACACTTGTGCCAGTTCAAGACAATAAGTACAGCTGCACTGGTTAAAAGCTGGGACTTCTGTTCCATGAAAGCACCATGAAATGGCTGGCATGGGCCTTCCTGCTAACATGGCTATGAGTTAAGATGCAGGTCATAGGGTTTGGTGTCTATAAAACTTTGGTTTGGGTTCAGGTTTGTTTTATGCATTACTTGGGCTTAAGCTTGTTTGTGCCAATTCCATCTTTTCCATTAGATGCTCATTAATAAAATTCTACACTCCCAATATTCATCACATCATACCATGCTGGGTGGCAGTGCATTCACTTGGAGTTTTCACATTTGATAACTTCTCATTCAAGTTAATGGAGCTACTTGGAATTTTCCATCAATTATGGCATCTCAGGTTTTGGCTATTCTGAAGGAACCTATTTGTGAGACACACATTATATATAAAGATGTACACAAGTGCAATTAAATGCCCGATCCAGTTTCAACTATGACTCATGTCTGCTTTGACTGAAGTGGAGGACGCAATTTTCTCCTCAATAGATTCTTCTTCAAAAGAAAATCTGAAAGCCATTGCCTTGACCTCAGCTCACCTTACTTAGTATGCTGGTGACTCACTGTGTCATTAGAAAAGGTTTATGTTTGAGGAGACTTTGAAAGAACATTCATTTCAGGGAGCAGAGGTGGGAGCAAAAACAGAAAATTCTGAGGGTTTGGAGGATGGAGTTCTGGTCTGGCACCAGTAATTCTTCAAGTTGCAGTAGTTAGAAGTGATAGCTTCTTTCATGTGATCCAAATTTGTGGGTGAGACTATCTTGTGGTTTGGGGAAATATTATGTATATGCTCCCAGCCTTGCCACATATGTTCCCATTTTTTGTATCTACTCTCATTTTTTATAGAGATGCATTCTTCTTTTATTCAAAGCAACTGATTCTTCATTGCAATTGTGACCTCAAATTTATGCTGGGTTTCTCTTCTCATTGAGAGAGAACCAGAAAACAAACAAACAAATAATTACAAAAGAAAACCAAAACCAAAACCAAAATGAAACGAAACACTGACGGTGAACATTTTGCTTTTTTGGCTACTATTATCAGACAAGGTAGAAACAGCATATTACCATGGAGGACATAGGACATAGGCTCAGGCCACCTGCGTGCAAAGAGTAAGGTGAGCTGTCTCAGTGGTTTGTGATTGGCCTGAAACTAGGGCATTTCTGAGCATGGGGCTGAATCAGCGTTTATCCTACTGGTCAGTGTCTCTTCAAGGTTAAGTAAACGAGTGATTCCTACACCCCCAAATTTTTCCTTTTGCCAACACTCTCCTTGGATGGTAAGTAGGTCACTTTCAGATTCAGATGATAATTCATTTCAGGTTTTCAGGTTGCTAAGAGGCCTGGCGGTTTTCCTGTGTGCTGCCCACATTCTCTTCAATCTTGCTCTGTTGGCTGTTTCCCTTCTGAGGTCCTGCTCTCAGATCTGCATATATTTACATGTTTTAGGCTGTAAGCTCTTCAGTCACAAATTATATAAAATAGAGGTCAACCCACTTCCAATATGATTTCACTTTCCCTTCATTTTCATACTCTAATAAATAAATAAAAACATGAAAAGGAGCAATTAAAAAAGACAACTTTCTATAGAGGTCTTTTACTATGACAGTCAAGACAATTGTTGTTTTATCATTAGTATCCAGAGAGAAACAACTTCTAGAATGCTTAGCTCCAAGCTCATGTTGTGATTACTGTACACAGAAAAAAATCATTATGATTCAAAGGATAAGTGGCTTAGGATCTCTCCAAAGATCAGGCTGTATATGAAGACTCAAAACATTTTCCGGATGCTCTTATATAAATCACTAATAGTAAGATCTGGGTTTCTGACTATTCTTAGCTTGGTTTTGTTAGTAAGGTTATAGTCTGTGGCAAATCAGTGAGTCAGGCCTTTCTGCTTTTAAGGTCACTGTGGTTCTTCACCCTCACTGATCATTTTTCTAGAGCTATTTTTCTTTTTACTTCTGAATTTGCAATACATTTTTTATTTTCATCTATTCATGCTGACTCTTAACCATGTCTAGAATTGAGAATGAATAATCTTATTATAAATAGTACTTAAAATTATAAGTTCAGTAAAATTTCATTTATTGTACTTGTACTGTGAGTTCATATAACACATTTTTGTAAATTTGAAGAAACTTCTTTATTTAAGACATTTTTTTGCTCTCTGCTGGAACAGTAATTTTAGTAAATACATTTTTTTTTTACACTAAGTCGTTTCTTCAGTTTCCATCATCTCAGAAATTTCAGGTGTGTGGCTTTTAATTTCCTCCATGTATATGTCTCTTGGACTTGCTCTGGGTGAGATATAGGCGTGCAAAATTAATTATGTAAAACAAGCACTAAGTTGTGTATTTACTTGGGTTGCTATAATGTAGAAATTTCAGATGTGTGGTTTCCAATATCTTTTGTGTCTGTGTTTCCCGGGACTTGTGCTGGCTGAACTGGAGGTCTGAGATTGCATCCTGCTCCATTGTTTTGACATTTTTCTGTGTTCCTCTAAATCAGCTGGTTGCTGAGTCCTGGGTGTTTCCTGCATCGGCTGCCTGTTCTGTGGTGCAGATGACTGGGCTAGGTACCTCCTGGTTCCTCTGACCTGAAGTTCCAGGGGTGGTGGAGAGGTGCAGAGTGGCTGCTCATTGATGTTCACCCAATTGCAGCAGAACTTCTGCGGGCATGGCTTCCTCTCCTACCACCGGAGGCAGGGGCTTCCTGTGGGGAGAGGCAAGGCAAGTTGTTTTTTTCTAATGAGTTGACTATTACATTTCTGAAGATCTGAAATGGCCAACAGATCATAGAAAGATACCACTTAGGCTCCTGCTTGAAACAAACAGCTTCAGAAAACTGCCAGCCTTGATTCAAAGTCATTACATCTTTTGATAACTATGAGTGATTTTCCCTAGAACTGGCCAGTATCCAATTTACCTCTTTACATAGGAAATAGGAAGAGTCTTGCACTTTACACACTGTTGCTCTAATCAGAACACACAGTATCCTTTCACCAAAGGAATATCTTTTTCATAGATTGACTACAACTGCTGAAAACTTGAGACTTGACACTTGTTAGGAGTTAGTACTTCATCAATGATTGAAGTAATTTTTTTTAAGAACAACGGTTTCTTCAGCTAGATTGTAATATAAAACTCCTCTATTCACCAAGGGACAGCAGAGACATGAGGCCAATCTTTTGTGAAGAGATCACTCCAGAAAAGCATAACCCTGATGTTGTATAAACAAGTCTACAAACGTAAATCATGTGCTACAGTGTATTATTATAATCTGCTTATATGCAATATTTAAAAATATTTCTGACATATGGATATCAGAAAAATGATTCTCTCCATGCTACTAAAATGTAGAAAATTAGCACGCTTCCAAAGCTCAGGTCATATGTTATTTATGAAATCCAAACAATAATGGATCTTATATTTACCTAGATTAATGGTTTAAGCTAATCATCCCATTAATTCCCTGAGAACCATCACAGGAATCAAAGGTTAAGATCTACCTTTAATGCTACCCTATCTATGTCCTATTAAACATTTATCTTTTTGTTAGGTTTTATGGACAAAATGTAAAAATGATCTCTATCACCTAGAAGAAGGGATAAAGTACAAACTCTTGCCAAGCATCTGAAAGTTCCCAGGCCAAATTTACTGTCTGGATCTTTGTTAGTGTAAGTGGATGGGCAGGAGGTTTGATTGTCTTCTGACCTTCCTGTGTGTGAAAGACCCCAGAAAGACAATGTCCTAGATAAAACTGTGGCAGGGAATAGAGAGGACAGTTTAGAATTGGACTATGAAGTTGAAGGAAAATGACAAGAGTGGGTTTTGGAGGCAGTGCCTAAAGAAATTTTTAAGCAAAAGAACATAGTCCCTGGGGCAGAGTGCATTTAAATTTCTAGCCACTTATTGTCTCATAACTCATTCATCTAGTATTTTCCAGAT